CTCGAACCTGGGAAGAAAATCTGAATCTGACTGTCGGAAGGATTCTCATCCGGGATGGTGTTCCACGGGCTGCCGCCGAGCAGGGCGAACTGCGATTCCGTACTCAACATCAATCGATCACACCTATCGCATCTGAATTTCATGGAGAATCGATGCTCTGATCGCCTTTCCGACAGACGAGCGAATTTCGTATGCGCATACTCTGTCCGTGGCCTCCAGCAAATTAATGCTGGCGCTTCGATCCCGCAACATGGGACCCGAAATCTAGAGCCGAGGAAAATCATCACCATTATCACCTAGGTTTGCACACGTGGAGGTGAGGCGCGATGCATCAATAGATATTGATCGCAGCGGCGCAGCGCTCGCCGATAAAGCAATCACGTCACACACAACCGCAGGAGCGAATAGCATACGGGTCGGAGGACTGCGGAAAGGGAAGAGATTCGTCGGGGGTTTTCAGGAGTGACTCCGAGCGGAACGATTCGAGGTCATTCCTCAGATCCCTTCGAGCTTAATCGAGACTGAAATATACGACTGAAATAGAAATTTACGACGAATATAGACCGAAGGATTCGACGCGTAATTCCGAATCTGGCTGACTTTCCTGCGAGCCACGCTCTCCTACTTGAGACAAAAGCGACGTCTCCCTCGGCGTCGTCAATGCGGTTCTCGTTTCGTCAAATCAATGAGGTTCACCCATCGCACCAGCTGTTCGAAACACCAGCCGCGTTAAAAGTTCAGACCGTTGAAAACGGACGAACGAAAGTTGCACAAGAGAAGAAAAGCTCGCTTGACACAGCTTGCTCACTGGTCTCTTGACCTACATCGCTACCGATTCCAGATGAAGTCTCACACGCCGCGTTCTCTCAGTCGAGAATCAAGTGAGGATAATAGCGTTCTTTTCACGGAGAAAAATAAAGTCCGGATTTTTCCGGAAGACAGGAACAGAGTAGGTCTCCTGATGGAGAGTCCAGGCGGGCCCGCTCGGTCAAGCATCCGAGTTGACCAGAGCTCGTCGAGTGTGACCGTATATTTGACGTCCGGCGAGGATCAATCATAAATGAGTACCCACGTAAATCCCAGGCAGTGTATTTAAGTGAAGAATTCGAAGAAATTGTGTCGCGAAATCCTGGCAGCATCGTCTCGTGCCATTCCCTTGAAGCTCCACCACGTCGATGAAAGAAGCATGAACATCTCGGAAGAGTTCTGACCAGGTCGGACTCGTTGGTCGTACAAATCGCTGGTTCGCCGAGAGCGTGAGAGACATTTTCCGCTCGCTTTCCTAATAGAATTCCGTGGGCAGTACTTCTATGGAAATATTCTCGGTTTGACGCTCTCTCCAATCCCCAGCGAGTCGTCCGTGTCTCCGAGGCCGGCTGCGCTAAACTCATTAGGGAAACTTCATTGTTCCGATGAGCTCCTGGAGGCCACGGAAGAAAATTAGAAAGACGTCGTCGACCACGACCACGCTGAGGAACGAATATATTTCTCACCAGCTCGCCGTCGGAATCGCGTTTCTTCTATTGAAGTTGAGATTCCCATCAGGGACTGAATCGCATTAAGCGCCTTCAAGAGCCCCTATTGAGTGCTTCATCAGCGTCCCCCTCCTTTCCTTCAGTCTTGTGAGAACACGACATCTTGGTGCTGCTAACGAAATCGCCACCGTGTCCTGGGAACGTTCCGGTGTCTGAGACGAGACGTCGGTCGCGCCGTTGACCGGACACTTTCATTTCCCTCCGGAGCCTCCGAGAGGCTTCGAGAAATTTCACGGCCTTTAGAGAGGATTAAGCTTCGCCCAAGCGTGACCGAGGCGATATAAGGGGCTGTAGCTCCCGATTCGACACGTATCTAGTACCTGCGATTAAGATTCCTCCGTTTGCCATGTTCTGATTCGCTTTCCTAAATCCTTCCCCCCCGGCGTACTTCTTCCGCTTCGTGCGAGCATGCCGCTGGAAGACTGGCTGGGAATGTTTCTTTCTTGTTTTGTCACCGAGCATGAGAAATCAGAGCGGAAAAATAAAATCTCTCTCTGCTCCGCGCAGGAAGCTCAAAGATTCTCCCTAAGGACCTCGGTTGCCGGGTTCGTTGCTCGTGGCGCTGGGCTGTTCTTCAGAGGCTGCTGATATTAGCACGGCGGAGTATGATAGAATCCGGAGTATGATAGAAAACTTATCTGACTGAGTCTCGACCGATCGCCCAACGCTAATTCGATTTAGGAGAGAAACCCGTAGTGGCACTGGACTCTCGAATAAAGCAGACTCCGTACTCGTAGAACACATCGAGCTCGAGCGTTCGGGGTGGCCGTTTTCAGAGTGCCTAGACTAGCGGGGCCTTCGGTTGCTCGCCGAGTGGCCGCTTGGCTCTGGAAGAGCGGATTCGAAGCGTTTCTGACAGCGACGACCTGACGATGACCGTGTGGCCCGTATTCCTCTCCGCGGTCAGACACTTGTGTGCCACTCACCGTAAGCTCCTCCTTGCTTTCGGAACGGGCGTCGCAGAATTCGCGAAGTACTCTATCACGCAAAAAATGTGGAATACCAGATCCCCTGGCAGACGCGGCCGCTACTTCCGCAATCTTTCCCCTTCTTGAAATTAACTCATTCATCTCTCGGAGTGCGAGTACCGGTCAGCACAGCGAGCTCCCGCGAAGACTTGGTCGTCCACATAAATTTCAAGGGACCGCGATCGAGGAGAGAACGTAGCTGTGTCTCGTTCAGGATGGATCTGGGAGGAGATTGAAGGGGGAAAAGCCGTCTTATAAGTTGCGGCACGCCTCGAGACGGAGCGTTAACGTCTAGGAAAATGGGTCCTACGCTCTCGACCTCGGTCTTCGTAGGTCTCCTCAGCGGCCAACGACTGGCTGGCTAGTTCACTGGTCCTTAGGCCGGCTGTATACTACGCTAGTGGACGGAGGCGAGCGGAGACTGTTGTACATCATTTCACGGACCAGTGGACTCCGATCCAGGACGCTTAGTGGCTGCTTGCTCGATCCCTCTCCAAGGATCTCTCGAGGTGCGGCTCGCTCCAGGCGCCTGACCGTCTGAGGCCTTCGCCGCTGCTGCATCTACTGTCGACCAACGACTACTGGTATCACAAGTGACTGCTACCTGCTCAATAGGACTGCTCGAGCCGGGCCCATGTGCTGTCCGTCTTTCCAACTAGTGAGTGGCCTGGGATTCGGACACTATTTATTGCGGGACAACTAACACTCCCTTCAAGCAATTCGATCAGACTCGGTGGAGCGAGATAGTCTTCGACCCTCTGATCACGAGTTTACCTCGATTGGACGTTTGAAGGCCAACGTATCAGATTAGAACCAATTGGACAAACTGGAAACCTAACGAGGAGAAAGTAGGAAGGCGAGTCCGAGCTTGCACTACAGATCGACTCGGAGATCTTCGAGATTTCGGTACTACTCGGAGGAACTTTCGGAAAATTATGCGATTTGAAAAATAATTTCGATATGTTTTCCTCAACATTCATCTATGTATTCCATTCAGACTTCATTCAATGTATGTACCGTGGCATGAGCTCTCCTTTCTCTCTCTTGCTCCGTTCTGTGACCTCCCCCATTCTTTGGGTCTAGACTGAGAACGCAGCTGTAGATATTCCTCATCGAATTCAGGCGTGGAGTCTGGAATCGACGGGAATTCCGTCGACGGCGGACGATGACGAGACGCAGTTTGATGGGACGAATGTCAGCCGCAGGAAACAAAGGCCGTGGATCCGCCGCATCGGACAAAAGGATTCTGGCTCCCTCTTATCTGAGTTTTTCTCCGCTCTGATGTTCTGGATGGTGGCCGGCTTCTTTTCACAAAACTTTCCCCGAGACCTCCATTCGCCCAAGCTCCACACGAAGCTTGACATTTCTGAGTTATCCCTCACTTGAGTCGAGCTGAGTCAAGTCCTTCGCAGTTTTCCATATTTCCATGAAATGACGAACTCTTTCCCTGTCTGATCTGTCTCGAGTGAAGCCTGTGGAACGTAATCACTTAGAAGGAAACTGCTCCCTTTCTCGAGACCCTCGTATGCACCACATCTCCAGAACCAACGTAATGTTCTCTATGAGCCTCAACGAAGCGAGGAAGGAAAACAACGTCCTCTCAGGTGAGATTATATTTTTTTATTGTAATCTTCCTCACTCTCCGACGGTCCCCTGCGACGGTCTGCGGTTTAATATGATCTCTACCGTAATCCGACGCCCGGCAAATCGCCGGTTGTTATCTCGGCGATTGTGTGTTTCCCCCTCGATCCGATAATAATTACAAGAATCTCCAGGCTGGGGAGCTCCGAACATGAACGGGGCCAAAGAGTTCCGTCTCCATGGAATCGCTCCGCTATATGCTTTCCGTTTCTTCATTCTCTCTAGCTGCACTGCAAAATTGCTGTCTCATGTTTCAGGCTCACGCGGCACGACGGAAAGAACGCGGAAGAGGGTTTCCCTGCACTCAAATTTTCGAGAACCCTCACCGACTCGGGTCGTCGTGAGTACGTACCCTTTCCGACTTCAGTAATTCCTTCTGCTCCGCGATGCGGGGACTCGCGAACGAATCAAATTCTCCCACTCGTCGTCCTCCGATTCGTCGCGAAACTATCCGACAACAGCTGACATTCCCAGCAGGGAAAAATATTTCGCGTTATCGCATCTCTCGCTTGCCGTCCTTCGACTTCTGTCTCTATTGGTAGATTGTTGGCAGAGGTTTTTTGTGTCTTCCCCGGAAAATGTCTCCCCCATCGACGTTTCAATCATCGCGATAATTGTTAAGAAAGATTCATATACAATGACGCCACTTCGTCTGAATCAGCTCACGATCCGACAAGCAGTCGATCCTCTCGCAATCATCAGAATAATCTCGGCTTGGAATGGTCCTCAGGTTCGACTTCGTTCGATACCGTCGTCGCGTTCAAGTCTGGGTACAGAGCTTGTTTTTTCCTTTGAGAAAATTTCGGGGACTTTCCCGGATTCGACGTCAGACGGAGCGGCGTTCGTTAAGGATGTCTTTGGATATAGTACATTCAGTAGTACAGAGAGCGGTGCTCAAATGCCTGCCCGCTTGACCTGCAGAGGCCAATCGACCGACAAGCGATTATCCTCTGTTCATCCGGAGAGCAGGCAATCGATCAACGGAATTTCATCACTGTCACTAAGATGATCAACATCATTAGATTGTAGACGGAAGTCTGCGTCGGCCTCCGAAGCGATAACGTCGACGACGATGTATACATCTGTTGCTCCGAAGTTCCGCGTGTCTCAGCTTCGATGAAGCGGGATGCAACCGCTGCTCCTTCCTTGAACTCACCGGACAACGCACCTGAAAAATATCGAAGTGAGATACTGTACGTGTTGGCCTCCGTTCATTTCGGCTAAGCACCTGCTCATTTGTTAGGATTCCGACGGCTTGATAATAATCATCGGCCTCGGATCCGCTCTACAAGGCAACCATTAGTTCCAAAGCTTCTAGCCGCGGGGTGAGTTTATGATCAAGCTTCCGCCTTGAAGTGCGACCATGGACTGAGCCCTGCGATATATTGCGCAAATGGAACCACCCCCCATAGTCGTTCTGAGCGAGACTTCAACGGAATCACGGTTTCTCGAGCATTCGAAATGGGTGACCCGTGCTAGAAAAATTCGGGAATTATCATTCATCGACGCAACTACCGTCGACACACGACTCCAGGTACAGGCAATCGAAAACTGCAAACACTTGACATTCGACGCACGAAACGAACGTTTGCTTCCAAATTCGGGATTACCGTCAAGCGATTCGGTTCACTTTGCTCAGAGTTTCATTATCCATCACTGTGTTTGAACAAGGCGCGAGCTCGAGCGGAATGTGATGATTTGGATTGATCGTTCCAACATCGACGAAGGCTGTTGCTCAACCTCGAGGGCGGCGTGGGAAAACAGAGACAGCGGGAAGAAATTATCCAATTGAATTCAGTTTCGGAGCGTACCTTTGTTGAGTTTGAAGAAGTCGTCGTCGAAGCGGACTCTCAGCATCGTAGAAAGCTCTACACTGTACAGCGCATTAGGGTCTTTCGGAAGAGCCGCCGGGATTTCCCGCTTGCGACGGCCGAATCCCAACTGTCCGTTTCCACACGAGATCTGGAAGAAGTTAATTTATCTTGAGCAGCTGATGACACCTCTAGGAATTCCCGGCGGCCGAGCAGACCGAGGCTCGAAATTATTGTGATTGTCACAACGTTCCAAGAACTGACTATAATGAACACGAGTCGCATGGCGAGCCCGAGACATTATACCTCAGAGATTTCAGAATCTCTTTCTCGAGACGATTTCTAGTTTCCGTAATAATCGTAAGTCTGCCTTAAATTTCACCACCCGCCATTACGAGAATTGTGACTAATAGAACGCGGCATCAGCTGTTTCGGGTGCTGCTGATAACGCTCATTCATCAGGGTTAGCGACGCCGATTCACTCTTAAAATGTTCCTCGGTGCTCAAATTTCATCTTGGTGACCACATTCGCATCTGGGCGACACGTTGGCTCATTCTTCCCCGAGCTATTACCAGTGCATTAAAGCTCCCGGAGGGATGGGAGCAGTCGCAGCGCTCCGAGGTAAAAACCATAAAAGCTGTCGATGGTCCACTTTGCGAGTACAAACTACGAATTCGAAGACGCGAAATCAAGTGCGACTAAGGCTATGAGGATCCTAATGCATGTTCCGGATGTGTCGGTGGCTGAGAGGAATAGCTACTTGAGAGGGCTCGGCTGTAGCGGAGGCATCGCTAAGAGGATGGAAACATCACATGGAACATAATTAGTAATCCGGATGCGTGATCTAGCGAGCTGCTGCTCAGAACCAGTTCCTGCCAAGCACTACAAGCCGAAGAGTAGGGGGACGACTAGGTTAGATGGAGAGGAGCCTAGTGGGACGCAGTTGGATTTTTATGGAGAGGAACTATCATTCGCCATCCCGTAAAAAAGGTCAGACGTTGAAGATACCCTAAAAACAGCCTCTCTCCCTAATGAATACTCTTGTAAAAGGTAGACACAATCTAACAATTCGACCTTTGCTTATTCACACGATCGGTGATATAGAGCTCCCGCTGTTGAGTCTAATCCCGTTACTTATCTTACTCGAAGGCGTACTGAACTGACTCGTCTCTTATGCATCAGCTCATGGGATTAGGCGCCCCGACGCATATGGCACGGCTGGTTGCCCCCAATTCCGAGATTATAGCTTTTCCGACTGATGGAAAACGAAAATCAACTCTGTGAGCTATGAAACAAACTCACCGCTTTACATTTGTTTATACATATCGACACTGTTCCCGAAAACATGACATAGGTCGACTCGGGGAACTTGAACGCCTTGAACGTGGCACTGAGGGTGTCGCCTCCGTCGGGCGTTTTGAAATTCGAAAAGATGTACGGGTCGATTGAACAGCTGAAAGGAAAAGAATTTCGTGTCCATTCCCAGGGTTCCACCATAACGATTCAAGCGACTTCCCGATAGAGCTTCGGGATTTCGCAACTCCGGATACTTCGTATATCTCCGATGGGTCGGAGCGGCCAACTCGAAAGGCCGACCTCATTCGAGGAAAGGCTCAAGGTGCCGTTGAATGCAGCTGCTGCCACCCCTCCATCATCATCACTATTATCAGCATTTAGATCGACTCCGGGGCTCTGTTGAAAATTTTCGCTTCTCTAGGCTCAGTATCGATTAATTCCTGCGGGTGGCCTTATCGCAGCGGACAGACAGCTACCAGTCGGCCGACGAGTTGACTCTGGGGACCGACGGGCTCTGTGGGGTCGAGCTTGAGTTGCAGATGGATTCGAAATCCATCCGATGCTTACCCGTTCATTATTATGACCTCTTCTTGCTTGCCCGCGCTGTCCGACACCTTCAGGAAGGTGTTCAAGATTCCGTACGTCGCTGAAAATAAAATTAGGAGCGTTGAAAATCAGGAGTCTTGCTCTGGAGTCACCCCGATCGATCTGATTCAATTCGCTCAGCTGCTCCTTTACGGGCTTGCTCTATACGTCCGGGAATCCACTCACCTTTGCTTTTTTGGTCGAGATAGATGACCATTTCGAGCGGTGTGCCTGGCTGAACATTGTACGACGTGTCCAGGAGGCGACCGCTCTGCCGAATTCCTATGTCCAAATATGGAACGGGCGCATGTGCCTCAATGTATTCGGTGATGTTCAAATGACTGCAAGAGACAGACGAAATCTCATTCAGTGCCTGTGGAAGCGGGCCGGAGCCAGGGCTCCGGAGGAGCAAGGGAGAATGTATGGGGAACTTTCCTATCCGTTTCGCGAGAGCCGCGACCGACAGCGCTAGAAGCGAGTTATTATTCATGCATGGGCGGCGCGAATATCGAGACCACAGCCCGAACCTACTTGACTAGAGCGGAGAAGGGACCGCAAGGACTAAAATCCTCGGAAGTACATGGAAGGAGTCAATGGAATGGGGCTTGCTCGATTTGCACAGCTCATTAGCCGTGGAGGCTCAAACAGAGGGACGTGTAGTTTTTTTTACAAGTCCGCCTCGCTCTCGCCGATGTCGCGGATGTCCTTGCGGGCGATAACGAGAAACAGTGGATGCAACCAAGGAAACGCTGAGCAGACGCCATCGGAATTCCGTCTCTCTTACGGGCAGTCATGGGCTACCACTGGGACCGATGGACAACAACGGAAACAGAGGAAACGAGGGAAACTAACGGAGCCACCGTCGCTTATTGTTGCAAGCAAGCGCTGCCATCGAAATGCAAGCCACGAACAGACATGCCTAACAACACATCCGCAACAAAAACAACAACGGCGTCTACGCCGAAATCCACATTCACAGGCTTCGCCTGGGCATCGAGTGAACAATGCTATTCTCGGCAAGCTCCTCCACAGGGAAGACAGGAGTTCTACATCGTTCTTCGGAGAGGCTAGACAGGAATGGAAATCGAATGAATCCATGGAGGTGATTAACTGATTCCGTTGAAAGACTCGTGTTCGATCTGAGCCGCTATTCCTGCCCAGACGATTTTCTGTACTTGACGTATGAAACTTCGGGTGGTTGTGGAAGAGAGGGAGAAAAAAACGCTCTCTGCCGTGATTGCCGGTGGCAGAGTGCGCTCCGGAGTCATACCTCCGGGAGCATCCGACAGTTGTTTCCGTGTTTCCGCGGCAAGCGACGATATCAGAGCTAAAAACGTTTCGAGTGCCTTCGGTGATCAGAGAACAAAAATCGTCGGACCGCATTACGATATTCCATCAATGGGAGTCAATCAGAGGAACGAGACGGAGGGAGGAAAGAGCATGCGATGAGAGAACGAAACCAAGAAGCAAAAGGGAAACTCCGAACGGGCTCCAGTCGAGCCGCGTCATCAACGTTGTGTCCCCGCTTCCGTATCCTCCAGACGATCCTCAAAGCAGGACGATGACTGCGGAGGGCGAGCCCGTCTGCAAAGCCTATGACGACGACTCGAGCAAGACGACCGACCGACGCCAGGGGAAGGACGATGACAAGGCACAGGACCGGACAAATCGATCAGGCGTCCGATCGGCCGCCCAGCCGATCTCTCCTCTTCCCGAATACAGAACCCTGAGGTAATGCTCCAGTGGGCTCGGATGGGCGCGCCCCGGCCCCCGGTACCACAGACCTATCTGATTCCCTGCCGAACCGAGTTTCGCAAAACTCTGAGCATTTATGTACAGCGAGGATCGGACGCAACTGACTCCAAGTCGATCGGGGGATTATAGAGGTCATAAGAGCTCACGAAAACACGGAATAGGGTCCGGATCTCAATAGGATAAGGAGGGCGATACGAAGATCTCCACGAAATCTCCCGCATCAGTGGTGATCCACTCGTTCCGGATCCTCGACTCCCGAGAAGCTCCAGTCTGAGAAGGACGCCGCCTTCCAGACGAGCCAGGGAGAGGAACGCAGCGACTCTCACAATTTCGGAAAATATTTAGTATCTCTCCTCATCACAGCGAAGTCACTCAGCTCGAGCAAATCACTTGCTGCACGCAGATGTGAGGCTGTCACGCATGGGAGTTAGAGTCTCGGACCTGTGGATGTCTCGAAAGAAGCAGCCAACATCCACAGGTGAGGTCAGGGAAAGCACGTCGGGCAGCGTGAATCGCAACAATCCCAGCACCAGCGACGATCTTGGTGGAGAAACTGCGGTGATCGGTTTCGGGTTGGCTATGCTTTCTCGCTTGCTACCTAGTCTGACCGTAGCATGAGAATTAAGGTCGCTCACGATCGCTGTCTGGCCTGGAAGGACCTGTCTTACCGGCAGAGTTCACACTTACTCTGGCTCTACAAGTTCAAAGGGGAACGAATTGGCCCTTTTGGTCCTGTTGAGCAGAAGACGCCTGCGATCTGCTAACTGGCACTTGAAGAAGATCGTTTCCCGCGGCCTCACCAAGGCTCCGAGACTCGGTGAGCCGCTCGAAGCTCCGTCCTCGAGTACCACCCGGTGGAAGTAGATTTTCAAACCCTGTAATTGCAGAAAACAGAAGAGTTTTAATACTGCGACCCTTCTGATGTGTGATATGCATCGTTCCACAGACACCCCTAGGTATGACGGTATCTAACCGGAGTCAGAGATCAGAAGAGGGCTTGTGTACCCGCAGACAGCGGGCTATCGATTTTGCAGGCGACAACGATTCCAAAAGCCATGCTGAATTTGTCTCGACGAGTCTAGTGGCCGAGCAAAAAGCATTGGGAATATTGATTATCGGTAATGTCATGGCCCAGCCAGTCACCCGGAGAGTAGGGTAGGGCGCCACTTTTTGCCTCACAATGTCAGCCTTGTCGTTCCGTGGCATGTTTAGAAACTTTCTCCAGGCGTCGACTTCCAAAAGAGAGAATGCGTCGTGACAGGGGGTGACGCCTCCAATTTCATTCGACAAACTAACTACGTAGGAGCAACGTTGCGCATCGATACGACCGCCCTCCACAACGCATGTCGAGTATCGCCTTTCGCTGCCGTCAGGAGAAAGCTATTCTAGCGAAAGGAGTCGTGAGGGGTTCTCGCGGGTTCTCGCGAATGATTGATACGTGAACCCCAGAGAGTCGATTCCTGTTCGGGAAAGATGCCCGGTCTCCAGGCAAGCTCACACCGATCTACCGGTAAGAGTTGATATGTGCTATACAATGGGGCTTCGTCCGCAGGCGAATCCACCTCAGGGGTCTGGTGATGATTCGAAAGATCGGACTCCGTACCTATGGAACCCGTGCTCTGGGTCCTTGCGACGACCCCGGACTCGCGGGGAGTCCTCCGACGAGTCCTCGGCTCTGCCCCGACCACTACTAATTCCTCACGGGAACGCGGGTCAGCCGGACCGACAGGTCTAGACGAATGAGCAAACGCGCCTGTTGTGCACCGACTATGGAAAGACCTTTCTCAAAAAGGGAGGTCGTCGGACGGAGAAATCGCTGATCATAGTGAATTTCCGGCAACATTTATCTAGGGACTGTCCAAGGACTGATGTACGAGATCCCAGGGAGACTAAATCCGAAGGTTCTACCATTCGACTTCCTCTCCTTTCGTGAATCCGCCAGGATTCGAGAGCCGGTCCGGCAGCACGATACCATGTCCTCTCCACTCACAGACCCGGAATTCACAGGTCACTCGCTGGTGACGCGAATTCCAACGACTTCTCTTATCTGTGGGAAAGAGGCCATCCCTAGGCATTTGGGGGTCCGGAGGGGAGCAAGAGCTCTCGACGAAGCAGGCTCTTCAAAACACCCCGGCTGCGCACTTTGGGAACACTTCAGCAATAGGAAGTCTTAGATTCGATCAGAGCTTTCCACCGAGCCGACATTCTCAGGCTACTCAACGAAAGCACTCACTATTGCCGACCGATAAGAGTTTTGGGGACGCAAACGAACTCTCAGCTGGAGACTTCAATGTGATTCCAGGCAAGTCTGATTCCCTCCTCGCTATGACAAGAGCTATAGAGACTCGCATCTGAAGTGAGCCTAATGCCTACAAGGAACCAACCGAGACAGAAGAACTCGCGTGTAGGCGCATTCTCGGTAGAGAAAACGGAGAACGAGGCAGAGTTCCGAGTGAAATTCCTGAATGCTCTTGAACCGATTCACATTCTGATTCACATCATGATCGCGTCGGTCGAGCTGCCAGCGCTGACCGGCTGAGGACTGGGTGAGCGCAAGCCTCGAAAATTGGAAGAGTGGATGGCAAGATCGCTGTAAAATTTGAGGGAGGCCATTCTACTTGAAGCCGGCTCTGGTGGGACTGGCGATTCGCCCTCACTGAATACGGTACCACGGAAGCAACATAGAAGAGCCGAACTCTTCGAGGAGCCACTTCTGAGCAGCTGTAAGCAAGAAAACCGCTCCGGTGGAGATCTTGGAGGGCTCATGGGCTATGCGCCGCTGGCCGAGCGATCTTGCGACGGAATCCATTAGGAAAACGCCGCGGTTAGCCTATTGCGTGCACTCGCGATTTTCGTCCAGAGCATTCCCGAACGGCGGACGTTGCATCGGAAGTCATTCGGAACAGAGGGTCGGAAAAATCGCTTGACACCTCTGAGAACGACTCCCCCTAGTGTTGAGCGCCCTGACCATTTCCCCATCGAGAATTATTATTGATTCAGGCTCCTGGGCTCGTCCGCCTCAAAGAAGAAAATTATTCTTACCGTTTTTTATTCGTCATCTTCCCAATGCCGCAGCGGAAGTCATCTCGGATCGGGATCTCGAACATCGCTGCCGTTCGACCTTCTGTGTAGTTTGGGGTACAACCTGAAATCCCACAAAAAGTTTCCGTCAGCGTTCTGATTGCTAAGTAGATGGGCCTACGTAATTTCTCGTGGCGAGTGGCCGGAACCAATGAAAGCAGATTCGTCCCTTCTCTTCGCGGTCTATGATCCACGCAAGACAAATGCGTAGACCTCATGTTGCCACGTCGAGCTGAGAAACACAGCTACATGCATACCTATGGCTCAGCGATTCTAAACCATGGTCACGAACGATTGCATCGACAAGAGAACACCATGCGGAGAGAGCGGTCTATTCCGGGTACGTAACTAGGTGTGTACGTTCGCGGGCGGACCCTCAGCACGCGGCTGATGGAAGAGAATCGGGAGGGGGGAAAGCGCTTCGGGTCAGCGGGAACAATGAGGCAGAAAAGGATGAAGGGCAGGCGGCACCGCGGGTAAGGCATCGCCGTCGACGGAGAAAGCATGTAGCGGAGGGAAGGTCGGACGGTGGAACGAACAGGTCATACATTATTAGCTCATCTTCCAGCCGCCAGCCCAGACTGACAGTTCAATCAAAGTGAAGGAAACGAACAGGCTTTCTAGGAGCATTGTAGCCACACCGGGCGAGACCTCCAACACACCCTTGTCGGGTGTGCATCAGGAGCAGGCAAGCTCTGAAAGGAAGCCATGCAATCTACACGGACCGCACAGGAGGTCGGTCTGGTCAAAGAGGTTGTTCTTATCAACAGCGGAGTAATCTTCGCCTGCAAATGACGGCTTCCCTGAATGAGATCATCTGAGCGTGAATATCGATCCAAATGCCACCGCTCACTCGACATTGGATATTTACGAGCTTCCCTGCATCGTCCTTAGTCATCGTTCCCCTCACATCCTCTGTCTGCCTCCTTGCCCCGTCTCCCCGTCTTCCATGCGTTTCGATGCAGTCTGCGAATTGTGTCGAAGGGCTTGGAGAACTCTTTGCGAGCTATATTCCCGCCCGAAGAAGCCACCCCAATGTCGGGGGTTTACAAGCTGACTTCAAAGACCAGACTCTGGCTTGTTAGAGACGCGCCATTCAACATCAAAGGCATTCGAATGCGATGGAAACCAGCGGTGGTCAGGAGAAAGGCTCAGCTAGCGGTTAATACGAAAGTCCTGAAAACGAAGGCACCGCAGAGGCAGGGAACCAATATCGCGGAATATAGTGCCTCCCCAGCCGAATCGGAGCTAAAAGCTTATTGCGAGCAGGTAGTGCAAAGGCTCCAGCGTCGGCGTCGTGAGGGACTTTGAGCCCCACAGGACCGCTGGCAAACCCGGAAAATGTTTGTCGATGAATACGATGGGGAAGTCATGGGAGTACTGCAATAGTCTCATCGTCTCCTCGACGATGTCTCTCGATTCGATTGAAATTCCTGAAGATTCCGGATTCGATTCACTCACCAGGGTAGCCCTTGAGGTTTTCGAGATATACATCTGTAATGTTGTGTCCTTCTAAATTGACTCGTATCCGAATTTGCTGCTCGCTGCAGTCCACCTTGTAGTCCACTGTAAGGAAGAAAAAGTACAGTCCATTAGTCGGCATCCATCGCTCGTATCTCAGGCTACGATCACGTGCGGCTTGAACTTAGTTCTCCAAGAAACCCTCGTGTCGTTTCTCCAGCTTAGAATAAGATTGAATCGCGGGTCGTCTCTACGCCGTTCCCGGCCATTCCGATGTTTCAAACCATTGACTTACGAACTGACTAGAGACCCGAGCGTGCCACGCTCCGGACTGCGATAAGTGAAGCTGGGCGGAAAATTCTCTCCCGAGCTCATTGAGGCTCTAATCTCGTAGGCAGGTGTCACAAATAACCTCCGCACGAGTGACCCTCAGATACGAGCTCTCAGCAGCTGCGGACGATTCTCGCACGGCTCTCTGTCCTATCTTATCAAGTGTTCTGACTTTAAATCATTCTTTCTCCTCCCCAATGAAATTCCACTTTCTCCCCCCGACGATGAAGAGACCCTTTCCGACTGATATCCGCCCTGCTCTCTTCGAAAAACAGACCTTAGTAGGGTCTGCCCGTTTCGCAACGGAGGGCAGAGGTTCCTAGGAGACTTATTCGAGAGGTATGAACGCTCGCTCGGCTGTCCCCCGCTATCTTGGCTGAGCATACGCTGCTCGGAGCAGAGAGTCAAAGCGAACAAGGAGCTCGAACGTTCCCACCGGACTCTTGAGAACGTCTGCCGTCAGCTCTGGGTGTGAGCGCCCCACAGAATTTATGGCCGCACTTTTTCTTCCATGAGATGTTTTATTGTTACCACTGGTCGTGGCCCTTCTCAAACGGCAGCGATGGAGTTGCCAACTCGCGTGTTCCCTCGCTCGTTCGCTTGCCCATCCGACCACCGCAAGACCGCCTTCCCACCCCCTCGCTCAGTCAGTACTCGAAAGCATCGATGGGAATCGCTACAAGCGATGATTTCAAACTTTTTTTTTTTCATTGCAACCGGAGAGGAGGTGGCAGCAGGCCACCGCTCAAGGGTCACATATTTCTCGACGCACGTCGGCTGGCGGGCCCGGCCGAGTTCCTCAGCTGGGACAAGAAATGCAGCCGTTACCCGACGGGTCCCTCCTCGGTCGCTCGGTCGTTTGCTACACCATTGCTTCTGTGTCCCGGACAGAAGCGATTGGCACAGGGATTCGTAGCGTGGTTGTCACGGATGGCCAGGACCTTTACAAGGAAACGAGGCTGCCTGGAGAATCCTTCCCCACTTTCTGTGATCGCCAGGCTTTGCGGTCAGAAGATGTCACCGGAGGTTGCCTGACCTTGCCTGACCTCGAGTCGAGGGCAAATTATCCAGTTGATAGTCCAGTTGATACCGAGACGGCGCCCGAACCGACTTCGGGCCGAGAACCGGAAGGTGGACACGGTCGCGTTCGTTGAGCGCACTCTCGGCTGACTCTGATTTCGGCTCGACCCTGACCTAATTGATACGGAGAAAAGAACGACCGTCACAAACTAACGGATCCCGCTCTGGCCGCCATTGCGGCTGGGATCTGCCAAGCGAAGTGCAGTACTGGCCGCTGCGCGCCTGCTTGTTCGCTTGTTGCGCTCGACTACTGAGTGAGAGCAGTAAGACAACTCTAGCCAAGGCAGAGGAGCGCTGTGGCGAGACAACCGTTCATTACGGCGCAGGCCTCCTCGATAACAGCCATTCGACACAATTTGTCAATGACTACCTCTACCGAACGGACTCCAACGACTGCATCGCGTCGCAGCCAGTAAGTCTGATGGTCGGTCACTCGGACCGTTCCGAGCTCCGTTCGCTGATTTCGGGTGGAAACGGCAGCGCCACTTCAATCAAGAACAAGCGAGGAAACTTTTGAATACAATATTGAAATTAATTGTGTTGCTCGGTCGCAATGTTTCCACCGTTCGCGGACGCTGGGGACCGTTCCCGACGTCAATCTCTCGAAATTGCTTCCACTTTGTCCCTGACTAATTTTATCTGGGGCTCGCAGCAGAACGATACAGCTTTCCAAGGGGATTCGTTCCCGCCAACATCGACAGTTGTAATCTTTTCAGAAACAGACGAGGACGATTGACCTCAGCCTACCCGGCCTACTTGTTTGTTCGTTGTCCTGCTCTCTGTCACTCGGAGCCGATGGAAGGTCAAGCGCTGGGTGTTCCTCTAGTTCTAGGAAACGAAGAAGAGACCCCATCGGACGTATAATCCCTGATGAGCTTTTCTTTTCCAGAAGAAAATCCTCGAAGGTGTCTGGTGGTATATTTTCTCTCTGTCGAGAGAGGGATGCTGAAAGCTGGCAGACTCATCACTGGACCGGGGACACTGCTTTCGTTCTGGCTGACGGTGGATGATGGAATCATGGACTGAAATGGATCTCGAACAGAATTCATCGCCTGAGCGATACAGGAATCCTTGTCACCTCATCACCCGGACTGGGCGGGGGGAGAGCGGTCATTCGGGAAAAACTGGGAATTCCCCCGAAGCTCGCTGCTCAAACATGAAGTCTTGCAGCGCTTGCCGTTTCTCTTGCGAAATGAGCATCCCGCTCCCCCATCGGGGCTTCGATTGATCCTAAGCTGGATTAAATCCCCCTCAATCTCAGACCGCTCTCCAGCGGGATGAATGATCCCGACCACGCTGTTCACACATGTGTTAAACCCGGAGCGGTCGACCATGAAAATGTGGCTGCTTGAATGGTGAGGCGGTGTAGCGTAGTAATCAGGCAATCGCGATCGGAATTCTTCTGTGGAACTGTAGGAACAACGACTCGTTCAATCATCATTCGTTTGTTTTATCCGAGCTATCACAGAGGGCTCACGAAGCGTGCGTTCGATGAGAGACGAGCGCCCCCATCAATCAATGATTCCGGTCAATCGGTCGATCGTCCGCGCAATCGACCGACCGGCCGGCGAGCGAGTCAAACGGTCCGAGAACGAGGCGAGCGATGAATATCTTTCAATCCTCCACCACCGATGCGGAATCTCACGATCCTTGTACAATATCTAGGAGTCCAGGTAATGGTCCGTTTATTTCTTTTGTCCGCTCGCTGAGGAGCTGGCTGATGTGCTCAGCGGCAGAAACGGTGGCATTGCTAGTGTCGGTCAGAATCATTGGCGGACTGAGAGGCCAACAACAGAAGCTCGACAAGCCACCGGCGGCGCGTCGAGGGAACAGGAAGGCTAGCCTTACCGCGGTGCTGACAGAAAATGGCGCCATTGTATCATCGTCGACGTCGTCGCCGCCGCTGCCACCGTTGCCGTGGCTGCCACCGTTGATGCCGTAAGACGAACTTGGTTTGAGCGGAAATGACGGAAACGGTCACGTTGATGGAGGTAACCGACAAAGCGGTGCTACGAGGGGAGCAGGGCGGTCGGCCAGCCAAACGGACAGCGAGAGAGTGCGTATTTGTGAGAGCAAAAGCTTTCGTCGTGGCGAAAAAAGAAAACGTCGACGAACACCATTTATATCGGCGCAAGCGAGGCAAGCCAGTGTTATAACGATTTGTCAAAGCGACCCTCGTCTTCCCCCTTCGTCCGCCAGTCGGTGAGTCAGTCGGTCGGTACGTGTGTCCGTCCGAGAGGATAGCTCGGCCGTCTCTCTCCGAATGGATGCCCTTGTCAAGGACGCGCTTGTTTCGCGCTCACGGTCTCTCGTTCCGACGTCGTCGCAAGAGTCACTCGACGGAATGGTCAGTTGAGGAAGAATAAAGTGCGCTTTCTCTTGTTTCTCTCACACGACGCTGACATCATCATCAATATTGACGCCAACGTCGTCTCGGGCGTCTTGTGCAACGCTCCTTGTTATGTGAGCCATTCGACGACCGAATGACCGGAGCCGAAAGTTTGCTCAGAGCGTCAAGGTCTCACGCGACACTCCTGGAGTTTCTCTCCTCGACAAGGTCCCCCCGCTGCCACCTCCCCCGCCTCCTTCTGGCTGGGCGCTACACCAGATGGACAGATAAGAGGAACTCCTTCCAAACTACGATAGTTTTTCTTCTGGAAGCCGGAAACCCGGCTCTCCGCCGTGAAACATTCAACAGGCGAACAATCAGGGAGTTCCGAGTATCCGGTCGTAGTGTAATCGAACGTCTGACGGAAACAACGCGTGCACCGGGTAGCGTAGTCCTGGATGGCCGTTAATTCTACGCTAAGTAGAATAGCCGAACTTCGAAGTGGGTTTTTCTCGCAGGAGTCGTTACCAATGCAGGCCGGAGCGCCTGAACGAGTACGGGCTCAACTTACGGTGACAATTCGATGCCACTAGGGCAACTGGTGCGCCGATGCCCCCCCCCCCCTCTCCCACCTCGGATCCCACCGCCGTGGTTGCGATTCGGGAGGCTGTTCGGCGTTTGCGAACAGAGTCATTAATGGATTGTCTGTGACTGCGTCCCTCGAGGGGAGCGAACTCAATACACGCGGACTTGTCCGTCGGCAGACTAAGCACTCGCCTCACTGGTGGACCCAGACATTCTCTTTTCTGTCGGTTGACGAGCGACGGCCTCGGCGAACGACTTGCTTCACTAAGCCGTCAACGGATGTTCGCCGGGACGAATTCCCGCATCTTGCCGCTGGATTCCCGCTTCTTCAATTCTCGTAGTCGTTCCATGCATTCGAAGGGAGGGTGGGTTTTGACTCTCTACGCACCGTCGGGGCCTCTATCTTGCTGCTTATTTATGGAAGGATCCCGAGGTGGTCGGGGAGGTCGTTGCTCGAATGATCCCGCGTGCATTGCAACATTCCATTTGCGATTCGCGATGTGCGGACACGCAGTCTAACACACGATTGCATGCCCACGCGAGCCTTGAGAAGTTGTAAACGACCAGCGAATGAAGAGCGTTGCCGAACAAGAGCTCGACACGTGGACGATCTCGTATCACAGACCCGTATCGGGCAGGCATCTTGCGTCGACGAGTGTAACTCACTCAGAGACAACGCACAGTGACAGGACCTGCGAGGGAGCACTCAGTGCAACAAAGTTCGCTCTGCTCGATGCGACGAGTCCCGGGACTGGAGCTATCGGAGCCCGACAATCTCGGTTTCCTTCAATATCCTAATTCTATTCGGTCCTGCCGTC